CCTAACACCAACCCAGTCACCCGGTCACCTAGTCACTCAATTGCCTCAGTTGCTCTTCTAGCTCTCCCTACCATGTGGTGGCCATGGCACAGCTTGAGGGAGCTCTGCACATGCACACTGTGTGTGCAGCCACTACACATGCCGTGCGCATGTGTAGCAGCCCCAGGATATCCGCCCGCCTGCTCGACCTCCCGGAGCACACTTTCTTCCTTCTTCTGGCAGACACGCCTCTTCCAGCCCAGCCTGGCAGCCAGCAGGTGGATGAGCAGATGTTCCAGGGCTTCTTCCCCCCCGCCTTGTCACGAGATGCCTGCAGCTGCTGTGTGCTTTTTTTGGTGCAGCTGGAGTCCAGCCCCACGGGAAAAAATCATGCCCTGTTCTATGTGCTGGGCCTGGCAAGTCTGAGCAGCTGGAGCATAGAACAGGGCGGTGCTGGACCCTTGGAGAAGCAGAGCAAGGGGGCAGCTGGAGGAGGCTTCTTGCACTGTGAAGGGGCAGCTCTGAGGAAAAGAGGAGGTGCCGAAGCCCTGGCTGTCACCTGGGAGAGGACCACGGAGGGACACATCACACGCCCATCGCCCCCGCCGTCGCTACTTTTGCTCTCAGTTCTTGGCTTCTTCTATGGGAGCGCTCTTAAAGTAAATCTTTAAGAACTGGAAGATGTTTTGTTAGATCACCGCCAACTCATTGTTGGGAGAGATGTAGCCCCTGAATACACAAGAAGTCTTGGACAAAGTTCTCTGACTTTTAAAACGCATCTGCGCGGTGTCTACCTCCCTTTACACTCCTTGTGCTTGCCGGGAGTGCCTAACCAGAGTGAGAGAGAGCGAAGTTGGCTGCTATGGGGAGAGTGCCTTGGCTTCCCCTCTCGCTCCTCACAGTGGCCCTGAGCTGATGCAGTTCTTTACTTGGGCAGTCAAACGGCTGCATCAGCACTCGCAGCAGAATAGGCAGTGCCGCAACAATGAGGTACAGTAAGGTTTGGCAGTGCAAATTTATCTCCAAGGGGCTTCTGGCAAAAAACAAAACAAAAACCACCCCAAAACAAAACCCATTCAGCAGGCAGACTCGGCAGGCAGTCGCGATCTTTAGTTGGATTTTGGGGGGGGGGTCAGCCCAAGGGCAGAGGGTGGGGAAGGTACATAGGAAATCACCCTGTCTCTGCAGCATCGGTCATGTGACTGAGTGGGCGTGGACAACTTGGCATCATTGGCAGCAAGGTGCCGCACCACCTTGCTGTGTTGGCCACGCCCACCCAGTCACATGACCACCAAGCCACACCCACCAAACAAGCCATACACACAGAACTGGTAGTAAAATAATTTGAATCCCACCACTGCTGTACATCCATGTCACTCATTTACCACCTCTGAATCAGTCACTTGCTCTCCGACAAACTACCTCACCTGATTGTTATGAGAATAAAATTGGGTGAAAGAACTATGCACACTACTTAAATTCTTCCAGGAAAATCAGTGAATAAATAAAGGTCAGAGAGGTTTTCTTTCTCCCCTCAAGAGCAACAAATGGATTCTTACATGGTAAAGTTGTTTGAGACAGAAGAATATTTTACTCTTTTAATTGAAACCTGATAATGAATGTCTTTTATATGGTATTGAACAAGTGTTCTGGTTGCCACTATAGTGCAATGTACAACATTAGGAGTTTGGACATGAATCTCCCTTGGAGACTTTTAGTTCTTTATGCTTCCAATTTATGTACTACATGTGAATGATGTGATCTTTAACATCAATAGCTTAATGAAATCCTGGCTCGGGAGGTTACGGAGTTACGTACACATGGAAAACAGAAAGGCATTCCTATTGATGTATCCATGGAGGACCCCTTTGCTATCACCGAGTTGCTGAAAAGCAGAACAAAAACATTTTGAAATGTTATTGATCTTAGGTTTTCATGAGGTTTCCGATCATTATTTCTGTTTCCCATTGCCTGGGTTTTAAAATTTCACAGAGCACAGAAGGCCCATGATAGAAACAACCAACTTGAAATGATGAATAAATTCACTCATTTTCCTCCATTATCCAACTACAGTATTTTGTCGTGGGAAAATTGCTTCACGCTGTATAAAGCAGAGATTGATATCATAACTGCAGAGGGGAAACCTCAGGCTCCTGCTGAATACCTTTGGGGGCCTTTAATGAAGGCATATCTTGGGTTAGTCTCGCCCCATGTTCCATGGATCACTTTGCACTCATGCAATAAGAAGTTTCAAAGCCTGGGAAGAATGCAAGGGGCCCCCAGTTACTTTTTTTTTTCATGCTTTGAGAGGAGCTTGTTCTTTTGTATTTCCATTAAGGCTTTTTCATAATTAAAAACACTGCAACAATAGAACTATGTTTATTAAAAAGCAAGTCCCATGGTTTGTCATGCCCCCGTCAGAGCCTGAATCTAGGGAGGAGGATGAGTTGGAGTTGGGGCCGATGGAGATCGAGGGGGCGGCCCCGTTGGCTTCGGAGGAATGTGGGGAAGAGTAGGAAGAGGCAGCCTCAAGCCCCTCGGGCTTTGGATGGCTTGCCAGCAGGCAGGAGCACGGGCAGGATGACCAAGAGAGGGCAGGCAGTGGAAATGAAGAGCATCAGAGCTCAGGTGATGAGCAATAACTGCCCCCTCCTGATCCCCAAGCATGGAGAATGGAGAGGAGGACAGCACAGGCCAACCCGACAACTTGGGATGAGAGCACCCCACCCCTCTTCACAAGGCACACCTGGGAACTGAGACTTAAGGAGACGCTGTGGGAAGGGGTGTTGTCAGGATCAAATGCTGAATTTGTGGAGTTTTGTGTGCTGTTGCCAATGTCTGGAATTTGCAGAATTCCTTGCCTTGTTCCTTGCTTCATGGACTCGTCTTCTTCCTTGCTTCATTGATTCATTGCCTTGTTCCTTGCTTTGCTGAACTTCTTGCTTTGAAGCTGTTATGCTAACAGCTATTCACAGTCAGGGGGTGCTCTCTCTCTCTCTCTGTGTGTGTGTGTGTGTGTGTGTGTGAGCGCTTTGCTCCAGGACTTGCCATAAACGTGGGAGTATTTGGAGGACAGTTGGAGCAATAAAAAGGAGTTTGAACTATCAGCTGGCTGTGTTGTCCTGGGTCACCATATGTTTCTATTTGATTCTAAAGCAGTGGTTCTCAACCAGGTGTGCCGTGGGCTTGTCTCCGGTGTGCTACAGGATTTTCATCTTATTTTTTCAATATTTTTTGGCATTACATATATCCTGTATAACCGTATATTCAATTCAGTGCAGACATTTTTAATAATTGTATAACCTTCCCTCAAACCATGTCCTAAATGTTTTAAAAATACATATATACACTTAATAACTTTCTGGTGTGTCATAGAACTACTGCTACTTTTGATAGTGTTGTTGATTCAAAAAAGTTGAGAATCGCTGGTCTAAACATACAACTTCTGTGTTGCTGTTTAAATTATCAAATTAATTTTATATGAAATCTCAAATTGCTCCAAACCAACAGAGCTTGATGTAGTAGATGCTAGTCATGCGCAATAAAAGAAAAAAAAATGAAATAGATCAGCTTTTGATTGGATAAATTATAGAAAGACCTTGTTTACTGGCTGCCTCCTTCAACTCTTTTGAAGTTATGGTGGTAATGAAAAAAATGACTTTGTGACCCAGGTGTGCATTTATGACCTTCATAGCATCTCTATCATGTTTGCCATTAGTCAATTTATATGCATTGTCCTATGCCTCTCATTTTTGCTTCCCAGAGTTCATTTCAAATAAGCAATCTCTTCCTGAGCTGTTTTTCTCTACACTGCAGTGCTTCCCCAAAAGATGATAACCACAAGTTAACAAACTCAGCTCTGTAACCTTAATTCACTGGCTCCCAACTGCTGCCTGTAACTGACAAAATTTTAATTACTTTCACATTTCTGATTGGAGCTGCTAGTACACTAGGCAAACAGCCCGTGCTCTTTCTATGTGCATTCTCCACTATGGGCCTGTTTACTCTTTGGTAATCCCTTCCTTTGCGGTGAATGTAAATTTAAACATAAATTCTCTTCTTGCTAATTATCCCAGTGCTGGGATTAAGATTCCAAAGGGCAGGAGAGTGAAAGGGTAGGGAAAAGGAAAACTATAGTATAGTCATGGTTGCTTAGCAACCGAGATGCTGGTCCCAACTGTAATCACTGGACAATAATTCCCTGTATAGTCTAGAATGAAAGGCAAGACAATTTAATTCTTATATTATCACTATAAAACAGAGTTGCATATCCCAAATTGCAGAACCATGTGCATCCTTTCCCAAAAAACCCTTGGGCTGGATAGTCATCAAATTACAATGATATTAATAATTTAAAAATTACTACAAAATATTTTTTTCATCCTGTCCCCATTTTCTTTTTAATCACAGCCCCTAAAGCACCCCATTCAAAGCACAGGCACAACTTTCAGGCCAGAAAGAACATTACATACCCCAGATAAAGTCAACTCATGTTGATTCAAGGACAAATTTATGTGGCTTTCTTGGGAACAACAGGGAAGTAATTTGCCATTAACTTCTTTTAGCACTTATTACTTCCTAGTTCTGGCTACATGTTTTGGTATTTTCTGGTGATCTCCCATCCAAGGCCAACCTTTATGAGATCACCCAAGTTACCGGATATTTAGGCATACCCACTGGCAACATTACAAATTAACTGCAGCAACAGATGGTTAAACTCTGGTCCTGCACATAAAACTGGAACCTGACTTGTTTTAATGTTTATGAAAAATATTTTAATACAGCTATTATTTCAGATGAGGAAATCAGCTGGATTTCTGGAATGCATAAGCAGGGGGCAGCAGTAGAATCTGTTATTAACCCACGCATAAGGCAATTATATTTGAGTTAAGAAGGGTCCTGGACAGCAGGAAAATTAAGAACTTCCCTTCTGCCCAGACTTCAATCCTAGGAAGATGCGTTGCTGTTAACTCTTCCATTGTATACGAGGTCAGTTCAGCATTACACAAGACAAATAAAGACACGTTTAATTTTATTGGCCAGCAACATAAACCACATTTAAGCATGGTTAATATATACAAATATTTTTAAAAAGAAAAAAAAAGAGCAGGCACAGCTTACCAATCAGCATACCTGGTCTGCTTATACAATGGCACTATATGATTCCCAGAAAGAAGGGAAAAAGAAAGCCAGCCAATGTGCATGTACATTTCAGTAGTCAAATATCATTTCAAGCTATCTTAGCAGTAGTTAGTTAATAACCCATTTCTCAAGGAACACATCCTGTCATACTCAAGAAATAATTCACCCTTAATTCTAGAAATGAATTTCTGTCAATAATTTAAGACCTGTCAACCTTTACAGTGAGAATAGCTTTTCCCCCCTCCTGTGTGAATATTTATACAAGGCAGATCTGTCTTCTCATCTTCGCATTTGTCTTCTGAACGTTCGTCCCTTGGACTCAAAACAACAACATGGAAGTTTCAGAACAGCATGAGTTAATGTTAGGTGCTTGCAGTAAGGGTTTACAAAAGGATAGAGAGAGAGAAGAGAGAGATTTTAAAAAATACTTCCTTCCACCTTTCCTTTCTCTGGGAGAATGAATAGTGATTTTGCAGTGGGGTAGGGAATATTGGCACTCAAAGTAGATTGGTTCTGGATGAAAAAAAAAAAGTCCCAGATCGTGCGACTTCCCTTCTTGCCAATTCTGTCAGAAGAACCAATAAGGGAAGCAATGGGGGAAATGGAGAATGATACCAACAGCTTCTAAGTAAACCACACATCACTTTCTCTGCTAGGCTCCAAAGTATCATAGACCTTACAGGCAGTAGTCAGTTAAACAAGGATAGGTAATCCGGTGGCCCCCTATCACTATGGACTGCATTTCCTATAAAACCCAAGCGGCATGTCTAATGGCCAGGGATTGTAGAAACAGCAATGCACAGTGAACACTTTCAAAAGCACATTTGAGTGCCCACTGCTGTGGATGAAGGGTAAACAAGCATTAACTAAAGAACTTCAAAATGGGATGTATTGAAGGGGCAAGAAATATTCTAGCAATGGATATGCTAACTGGACCCCAAAGGATAGGCATCTTCTCTAGGAATTCTCCATGTGGATGAATTCTTGGGAAATCTAATAAATCCAGTGATGGGAGCCAATGCGTGGTCAGCCTCCTCAACAGCATCAGATGGAGGAGTATCACCATGGCTGCAAAGAGGTAGTGATCCCTTTTCTGCTTTGCTGATCCAATTTTAATGATCACTTTTTAGAAAAGACACCACCGTCTCAACATTTTTTTCCCTAATGAATCTCACTCATAACGTTAAGGTGATCAAAATTTTGGATCTCTTCCTATCGGATCATATCTGGCTGGTCAATGAGACTTTCATATCAGTCTTCAAACTTGATAATATATTTTTCCCCAATGAAACGAGATGTCATTCTGGAAATGGATCTAATTCTATGAAGAGTTACTACTGCATTCCGCAAAGTGGGATTATCTCAACATCCTTCCTCAAGCAGGAAATCAGTTTTTGATATATATATTTTTAAGTCCATTTTTTTAAAATTATGTGAACAAAATAATGTCTTCCAACACTGGCTTTGACAAGCACAAAATATTCTTCTTCTCCAGGACAAAACTATTGCTTGAAGGGGGAAAATGTGCAGGGAACCTTATTCATCCATCCCTGGGTAGCATCCTGTAGGGGGTCAGAAGCAAAGATTTTCCAGTAGGGTTATCTATTGGCAGATAGAGCTACTCTCTTGGGTAAGATGTCATGAAAACTTCCATATAGACATTGTACTGAGGAAAAGGAAGAAAGCAGTTAATGCATGCACACAATACTTAGTTGTCATATCTCGGAGCTCAAAGACCTTGATTGATGATTTGGGAAAAGACAAAGGCACCGTGTTCTTGGGAACTCTGAGGATCTCTTTCAGATTGTGTGCTTGTAAATAATTCAACCAGACTGCATTCTATAGCTCCATTACATTGGAGTGAGAGAGAAAAATGACTTAGCTGAGCACAGAATTCCCTCCTTACTGACTCAAGGAGGACTATTATTTCTGGCAGAGGCACTGGATGATCCCAGAATAAATTCCTTGAAGCAGCAAAGTCCTGGAAAGGTTGATAGTTCTGTGCTTCTGTAGAGAAGGTCAGGGTGATGGGCTGGAACGTGGAGGAACTGAATAGGTGGGCGATCCATGACCTCTTAATAAGGCTCTAACTTCAAGCTATTATACAGACAGCAAGTAAAGCACATCCCAAATATCTAGGAGACAAAGTGAATAGAGGTAAGTAAGAGGAGGGCTATAATATTAAGCCAGAACATCCGTGGTCCCATGCAATTTATTTGTTTATATCCTGCCTTTATTATTTTTACAAATAACTCAAGGTAGGGTCTCCTGCTTGGACGGGGGGATTGGACTAGAGCAGCGGTCGCCAACCTTTTGGACCTCAGGGACCACCAAACTCATAATTTTAGATCCCAGGGACCACTAACTGGTTCTGTGGGCGTGGCCTAATTTGTGGGTATGGCTTGGTGGTCATGTGACTGGCTGGGCATGGCTTGCATGTAAATATTATAAATATTTATATAAATATTGATTTTTTAATGAAAAAAGAGCAACTTTTACCCAAAATCAGGCAAAGCAGGCAGGCAGATTGAGTTGCTCACAGAATCACAGATTCATTCAGAAATCTATCAATCTGCCATTGGCTAGCTCAGTCTGTCACATAAAATTTGCTTGCAAGCAAACTCATAAAATTAACTCACAACACACCATGCATGTAAATATTTTATCCAAAATCAGGCAAAGCAGGCAGACTGAGTTGCTCACAGAATCATTCAGTGATCTAGCTATCTGCCATTGGCTAGCTCAGTCTCTCAAATTTGCTTGCTGTGAGTCTGCACTGAATTTGCTTGCAAGCAAACCTTCAGTACTAAGTGAGGTTCGGCTGTGCTTAGCTAGAAAGCAAGAAATCCAACCATTTCCTGCTTCCTAGCTAATCTAAATTTCCTGGCAGAGCAAAACAGCTGATGGTCGGAAAAAGGAAAAATAGCAACTTAGCAGACAAGTTTACCGGGTAAGGACTGAGTGGGCGGGGAGGGTTCCCGTGGTCCAAGTGGACTGAGCAGCCTTGTGTTTCTGTGCAGCCTGGATTAATTGCCTTGGGGGGGTGCTCTGGGGGTGAGATTTCTCTGCGGCCCATCAAAATTTTCTCAAGGCCCACCAGTGGGTCGTGGACCGCTGGACTAGATGACCTACAATATCCCTTCCAACTCTGTTAATCTGTAAACTTTCTTCCTCCTATTTCCCCGCAACGGCAACCCTGTAAGATGTGTTCAACCGAGAAAGAGTGATTGGCCCAAAGTCACCCCAGCTGACTTTCATGGCTAAGACAGGATTTGAACCAACAGTCTCCTGCTTTCTAGTCTGGTACCTTAACCACTAGACCAGGGGTGTCGAACTCATGTCGTCATGGCGGCATCATGTGACGTATTGGAACTTTTTCCCCTTCACTAAACCAGGCGTGGGCATGGCCAGCATGTGACACATTCACACATTCAGCCCACAGGCTGAGAGTTTGACAGCCCTGCACAAGACCAAATTGGCTCTTGGTTTAAATCAGCATTTCTCAAAGTTAGCAATGTTAAGATTTTGATTCCCAGAATAATATGGATTGCTGCAATTTTATATTAATTTTCCTAAAATCTATGACTGCAAATAAAGGTTTCAATGTTAACTCCCAGAATTTCCAGGCCAACAGTTTAATGGGGATGCCGTTTGTTGGAGATGGTTAACAGGATAAGAATATTTCACCTGTGTACCATTGGTCTCTTATTCTTAGCTCTTACAAACTTTTAAAATTTTAATTGTTTTTCTATTTATCTTTTTATCATTTATAAGCCAGCCAGAGTCATTTTATCAGTGAGATGGACTGCATAAAAATTTAATAAATAAATTTAAATCAAATTATATTGTATAATCAGAAATGCAGAGGGTGCATTTAGGTGGATCTATAAGAAGGAACTGGAAATTTTCTCTTGGTGAGTCATGGGGTAACTGAACAGGGTGGCAATGAGCTTTTAAGACAATATATTATGCATAGGGCCATTTCTTTCTATGGTGTTGTAAGAAAGCAAAACCTGGATTACATCCAGGGATGGGATGCAACATTTTTTACTACCGGTTCTGTGGGCGTGGCCATGTGACTGGGTGGGTGTGGCTTTCCCTCCCTGGTGTGTACGTGCTGCACGGACCCCCTGCGCTCCATTTTTTTGCCTCCTGGGCCTCAGGGAAGTCTCCTAGGGGGGCGTTTTTGCTCCAAGAAGGCTTCCCTGAGGCCCAGGAGGCAAAAAAATGGAGCGCAGGGGGTCCGTGCAGCACATATAGCAGTAAGACAGCGAGGGGGATCCCAGCATAGCTGATAGTTGGAACAGCTGATCATTGGGAGGAAAAAAAAGAAATATCGTAAGGAGGGGCGGGGCGGGGTAGTGCAGGGAGAATGCAGTCAGCGATGCATGCGATGTTGCACATGGGGACTGACTGGGCAGGGAGGCGCAGGCAGAGAGGGGCGGGGCCAGCCAGGGACACAATTAGCCAGTTCTCCAAATTGGACAGAATCGTAACAACCAGTTTATAGAACCAGTCCGAAACAGTAGAACCCTGCCCCCGATTAAATTATAGTGTACAGATGCTTTTTAACAAAAATTCTCAAGTGAACTGTATTGTTCTTAGAAGAATTGGACACTGTCCAGCATTTTCACAGCAGGCTACCTTTTTTACTACAAACAAAAAACTAACACTCTCTAAAGTTATTTGAAATGTGCAGGGAGGAGGAAGATACCCAATGATGGAAAAGTACTAATTTCCCAGGCACTGTAATTATCACAGTGGATGACACCTCTGATGAGGGGAATTTGTAGAAGCTGTTCAAAATCTCTCCCTTCCTCGGGAGTTTGCAAACTGATTTGTTGCTGTACTACATTAACACCAGAGGACGCTGTTTGACTGCTCTACAAATTTTCACATTTCTTGAAAAAGACACTTTCTAGACACACAGACACAGAAACAAGAAAAAGGGAAAAAATAGATTGATGGAACCTCCATATACACATTATACGAAGTGCAATTTAAAATAATTGAAAAATTCAACTGCCTCTTTTTTTTCCCACTGAGGTCTAGATTTAAAAACAGATTCCAATCCATAAATAGGGCTGCTTGTATCATTTTTAACCCAGCATCCGAACAACATGAAATCACATGGCTATTCATATACAGTAGTAATCTTCTTTAGGCAGGAAAGTTTTTAGATGGTAAGAGAGTATAGGTCTTCAGAGCCAACTATCCTCCTTTCAATAATGAAATAATTTTTCTTTTTTTAAAGCAGGGATAACATTTTTGCAGAGTTTCATAGAGTCCTTCTTTGCCCTGGAGGAACACACAGCCTCCAAGAGTAAATGACAGCCATAAACCTTCACGATCCAGAAATACTTGATTTCAAAAAAAGACACAAGGGTGAGAACATTCCAGCGTATATATATATAGTGTAGATGAGGTTTCAGTTTAAACTATTTGCTATTGTAAAAATATAAAGTTAAGTTCAGGTCAACACCTTTATGTATGACTGGAGGGGTATGTGTGTGTGCGGCCTGGGTGAAGATATAAAAAATAACAATTGTTTCAATATTTTAAAGTTATTTTTGACAGGAATTTGTTTATATTTATCTTCCAAACCATGATCTATCATCTATTGTAGTGCCAGGTGTTTTTTAAATGTTTTTAATGTGGTTAATTTTACAGTTTTATTACGGTTTTTATGTTGTTTTTACTTTTGATTGGAACCACCCAGAGTTGGACATAAGATAGAGGGCTCCATAAATATATTTAAATAAATAAATACCCATGCTTCAGTACATTTTGGCCACAGACACTAAAAACAAAGGTGATAGCCATGATGGATGAAAACAACTTATTAAAAGCATACACTGCTTTAGTTGAGGTACATATAAAAGCCACAATGAATCGCGCAGTTCACTTATTTAAAAATATTTATTTATTCAAAACATGTATATAGCCTCTCATCTTATGTCCAGTTCTAGGTGGCTCCAATCAAAAATGAAAAATGACACAAAAACCATCATAAAACTGTAAAATTAACACAATGTCACAGGTCTATAAGCTTTCTATCACTTAATCTTGATTTTATGATACACTTTGCATAATGACAGAACTCTGAATTGACTGTCATTCTGAAGTTTTTTTTACTTAGGCTTAAAAATATACCTTTGAAAGAAATATAAGATTCCATGTTAGCTTCTCCTTGAAATTTTATCAAATTCATTAAAATGGGTGGTGCTCTTGAGAAGTATTTTCTATTTCTAAGGCAGGGGAATAAATAAGATTTCCTTTTATTACCATGCAATCTTCAGCAAGGTTCCATTTTAGTAAAATAACACCCTTTCCCCTACTTCAATTAGGGGTAAGCTGGATTGCTGGTCCTCTTTTAGTACCAATTTTGGTTACGGCCTTCCAGTTACCAAGCACCACAACAAAGTTGCCTTTCCAAGTGGCCTGTCAAATATGCATAATTCGGTCTTTGCTATTACATACCTGGACAAATGCAATGCTGAGTCCCACCGCTCCAATAATTATCAAGTGCTCCTGGATAAAGTTTCCCAGCTTAGTGATACAGCCACCCTGGGAATAAAACATTGAGATTATGGTACTTTTCATATCTATCTTCTGAAGGTGGTTTTATCTTCTCATGCTTCACATCCTTCAAGGCACAAACTTATGAATGGATGAAGTAAAACACAGGCTGATACTTGTGCCAAAACTGTCATCAGGTTAAGAATCATCCCCATTCCCCACTATGTCCTGATTAAGCTTTCTATACAGCCTTGTATCGAATGGGTTTAAAGGAGGTTCAACTAGGAGTATTGGGAAAGCAACGGAAATCATCAAAACCATAAAAAAGCCAAAGTTATAATATTTTGGACATGTGATGTGACACCCAGAAAAATACGGCACACTTCACTTAATCCTCTCCAAGGAAAGATTGAAGGCAAATGAGGTCCAGGCAGAAAAAGAACATGGCTTTAAAATTTAAGGGACTGGTTTGGACAAAACAGCCCTTTTTCGTGCAGCTGTTGATAAAAATACGATCACCAACATGATCGCCAATGTCCAATGATGGATATGGCACAAGAAGAAGAACCAGGAGTATAACCCTAACCCTAACAAAGTTTGATACCTAACCTGGGATCAGACAAGCCTAGCTGTCATTTCTGGAAAATAATTGCATTTGATGTCTTGTCTGCTTCTCCCTCAGATCTTCCATGTTCTTGCAGGCATAGAAACATTATCAGGATAAATGGTTGCGTATTATAATCCAAGCATAATCCTTTTTTTTTTTTTTACAAAAAACTAGGGAATGTCCGAATGTTCATTATTCATTTCACAACCATGCAGCCCAATAGTGGTAAGATATGCCCCATGATTTTAAAACTGAGCCAGCAGAAAACACGCTGAGATGATCTAAGGTCAGATCTTTCTTCGGCCATGAAGCTGCTAGATGCCCTCAAACTCATTGCTATTTAGCCTCATGTTTCTTACAATCTCATTCTTGCAAAGATAAAAACAAGTGGTTATGTTTATGACAGGAATCATGAATTGTCCCTTTCCTTCTTATCCTCCTTATCAATTACCTCCCGGACTATACGACTGCAGCGGAATAAATTAAGTAGTATAACGCCCAAAGTAGTTTTTCTCCTTATGTTCTCAACCTATTTATGGCAGGTCAGATTCAAATACTGGCTGGAAGCAAATCTCATCAAGAGGAAATGGTTCATTATTGTTTCTAAATCTTTCGGAACAGTACTTATTTTACGGGTTGTATGGAGTTGCCCTGTTGAGCATTTGGAGCAAAAAAAAGAAAAAGCCAGAGTCTCGTGATAACTTTAAAATAGCCCAATTTATTATTACCATTTAAACTTTCATGAATTGGAAGAAGTGATTTGCAATCCATGAAAGCTTATACAATAATAAACTGGCCAGTCTTTAAAGTAGCCCAGCCATCTTAGTTATTTTTTTAATTATACAGCAGCAATGAAGAGAGAGAGAGAGGAAATAGATGCAGGGAAAAATATAAGGAAAATTCAGATAAATGTGATGGAATTTTCCTTCAGAAGAGCCTCTTTCCCCGACATTTTAGATAAAGGGCTTAAAAAAAAAAGGTCCCCCTGGATTCAGCAGTCAGCAATTATGTCCTGAGGCAGAGTTTGGTCTGCCTCTGCATGACCAAAAAACAAGCTTCGTTGCAGAAGTTATTCATGTGCCTTCATGTCCCTTAATCCTCCTCTGAGCCCCACAGAAAGGGACTGCTTCATCATCATCATCCAGCAAAGTATCCTAGAGGCTGAAAGCATCAACCAGCTTGGTGGAAAAATGAAATTTTGCACTTAAATTGATTCTAAAGGACTGGAGTAGAAATGGGCACTTTAAAAATACACACACACACACACACACACACACACACACACATATATACTTCTCTATTTTTCACACTGAAAAGCTTATGTGCACAATAAAACAGAAGAAAAATACTCTTTAGGGTAAGTTCAGTTTTAGATATTTCCATTTGTTTTCTTAATAACAAAAATAGGTTACCACTGTTTTCTTCCAGAATATTTCTCTCATTACTAGCATATAGTCCTGGCCTTCCCTCTTCAAATACTAACCATACTGGCTTAGTGAAGATCAGAGAGGTGCAGGTGCCTAGCTAGGCTAAGCTTCTTGGCCTCGTTTGCCAAGAAGAGTAGGGCCAGCCCTGCTACGGAACATAAGCATCTATTTGCTTAGATGTTTAGAATAATATAATCAAGATAAATACAGATAGTCTTCAGCCTACGACCACAATGGAGCCCAAAATTTCTTAAGTGAGACATTTAAGTGAGTTTTGCCCCATTTTATGACTTCTTTTTGCCACAGTTGTTAAATAATCGCTGCAGTTGATAAGTCAGTAACCCAGTTGTTAAGTGAATCTGGCTTCCCCATTGATTTTGCTTGTCAGAGGGTCGCAAAAGGTGATCATATGACCTTGGGACATAGTAGCTGTCATAAATATGAGTCAGTTCCCAGCATTCTGAATTTTGATCTCATGACCATGGGGATGCTGCAAAGGTCATAACTGTGAAAAATGGCCACAAGTCACTTTTTTCAGTGCCATTGTAACATTGAACAATCACTAAACGAACTGTCATAAGTTGAAGACTACCTGTACTGTGCAGGGGTGGGGATTCAACTGGTGTTACTACTCGTTCGGTGACTATGTTTAGCATGCGCACGCGTGCTTTGCACACACGTGTGTATGTGTGTAATACACCTTAAGCTGTGCCGCCCAGACAGCTGAAAAGTGCTGCGCGCAGGTGCACAGCAATTGAAAGGCCTTTTTCCCTGCTTTTTCAACCTCAGCTGTGCCGCACAAAGTAGCTGAGGTTGAAAAAGCAGGAAATAGGACAGGTAAGAGCCCGGGTGCAGGTGGGTTCAGTGTCTGCTGCTCTTCAGAGCTACTGGTTCTATAGAACCGGGCAGAACTGGTAGCATCCCACCCCTGGTACTGTGGTATAATTCTAGATGGAGGTTGTTATGTTTAAATGCATAATGACCAAGATATGATTGATCAAAGACCATAATTAATCAAAGGTCTCGGTGTTTTCTTAACATAATGATAACAGGAGAGGGTTCAGGTTTGTTTGATTTCTTTTTTTTTTAATTTTTACCTCTTTGTAGATATTTGAAGGATGATCTCTTCTACCACATGCATCAGTCATCGTCTTGCAGCAACTATCTGGGACCTTCCTTCCTTCCTTTTCAACTTTGTACCAATAGCTGTCACTCCAGTCTGTATAATTATGACTGCCGCAGCACTTAAACTGAAAAAAACACAAGCAATAAGACAGTATGAGAAAACCAAAACTGCATGACGTATTGGTCAAAGTTACAAAATTATGTTTCTTATCTTAGACAACACGTTCTTCAAGTATGTACAACTTGTGGCGACTTTTCAAAAAAAGGTCAGTACACAACAACCCACCAGCCAGACAACAAAACAAAAATGTTTTGTTTTTAAGCTTCTTGTTGCCATTATGTAGTTACAAGGCTATGCATCTCTTCCCACAAGAAGCAGTAAAGTTCACTTTGTTTCTGGAAGCTTTACAATGTCCCTTTTCAGTTTGGGAATGAGAAAAATGTGTATCAGTACAGTTTAGGAATCCAATGTTTAAAAAAAAAGAAAAAGAAAAAGCATCTTCTAAAAAAAAACTGCCCTGAAATCAGCTCTCTTCACCTCCCTTTGCTCAGTTGTTCTATTAAAAATAGAATTGATATTAATATAAAGGAATAGATATATATGTACTGTATATATAACTAAAATGTATGTAAAGCGTATGTATACCGATACTGAAAAGTTGCAAAGAATGAAAATGGTGTTATGAGGAAAATCGTTTAATAAAAATTATACTTTTTAAAAATAGAATTGTTATTATTATAAAGTCCTACATGGCTTGGGATCCATGGGGGACCATCGTTTTCCAAGAGTCTCTACCTGTCCAATTAAGTCAAGCAGAATGCACATGCTACAGTCGGCCAAATAATGTTGGCTGACAGGGACTTAGAACATGGGCTTTTGCCTCAGTGGTCCCTGCTGTTTGGAGCATCGTCCTTTCAGAGGTCAGAAGGGCCCCGGCCCTGTTGGGTGTTTCATAAGGCCTTAAAAACTTGGCTATGTTCCAAAGCCTGGGGTGTCAAGGGCTCAGTTTCCTGGCTGTATTGCTAATGGGCCAAATAGCTTGTTCTTGTGTATCTTGAATTGGAGGTTTCAATTTTTTAAAAACTGTTTTTAATGTTATTGCTTTAAAATGTTGTTTTAATGTTTAATTGTAATATATTTTCTGAACTGTAACGGCCCAGTGACTGAGAAGAAATTGAACAAATAAATGAATAAACTCCCTCTGAGAGCAATGTGAAGAAAAAACTGAACTACCCTCTGGCATGGAATACTTCTTCTCTGTAGAGGGATACCTGGAACTAATGAAGCCTTAAGCTTGATACTGAATGTTAACAGTTTCTTTCAGTAATGTTGGAAGATATTAGCTCCTACTGTTAAATGTAAAGCCATGCTTGATTGTGCCACTTTTTCTTCGTATCCGTATCAATGAATAAATCACTTTAGTTTTTCTCACATCAAGCTACACTCCCTGCAAGTGAGATGATATATAGCTGGGTGTGGAAGAATCATTGCTGAAAAATGTAATTCCCTGTAGAGACATGGCATGCTCAAGCATTTCTGCTCAATTACGGTCAAAAGGAATCTCCTCCCTTCCTTTTACAGTCTTTTTCCATCTGATATCACGATTACACATAAGTATCCCAAGCTTCCAGTTTGTGGCATGAATCCAGAACCTATATATGTATTTTCTCTGAGCAAGTTCAGAGCAACTTATTCCCTGTGCTGTTAGGCAACAATCTCATGCATGTTGGGAAGTTAATTTAAATGCAGCTGCATTTATCTCTGAACAGTTTGGAACACGTGCTGAGTGATGCTTCTACAATCATGCACACTTTGCCCTACTGCCCAATGGCAGAATCTTTCAGTCATTGCAAATTCCCTAAGGATAGGTGTTAGGATGATGTTCCTGTTTAGACTTGGTATATCGGTGGCTTATAGCAGCACACTTTCACAAGTGCTGAAATAAAATGGAGTGATTTTATAAACTGAAGAGCAGAAATGACCATTTTCCTATCAGCAGTTTCTAAAAATAAAAAAGATGAATAGAACTTCCTGTCAGTTGGGAAAATGCCCTCAATCTTGTTCTTTTGAATGAATTACTCAGTATGTCCCCAAATCATGCTCACCGTACTTTAAAGTGTTCAGCCACGTCCAATACGATCATCTAAATTCTAAAATAACCAGACATATTGATCGGAAGCCTTGCTGCACTAGTCAAAAGAAGATGAAGCACATCCCCCCCATGCACTCTCTGAGAGAACTGTGTTCCTCTGTTAATTACATGTTATGCCATGCTTCTCTGTAACTGGAGATTAATAGCTTCAAGAAAATTACTTGACAATCAGGAAGTGATTTACCACTTTTACTCAACAAAGGCCCATCTGTTTTTCTAATTTTCTCAGGCTACAGGGCTATTAAATGGTTGAGGGTGGATATAAGAACTGGAGAGGTATTCCAGCGACCTGATCATTAAATAGGACCAGCAGATTATTTTACCCAGTTGATTTTGTGCCTCTGGGATTTGCTGTTTCATGCATGAGGCAAGAGTACTAAAAATACACAGGCCTTGTTGGACCAGGGAAAGTCAACACAGAATGGAAGACACGGGAAAGTTATCTATGTGTGATACATCTACAAGTCCCTTGCCCATATAAAAGATAATTCAAACACGGTTATTTGGTGGAAATGCAGCCCCCTTCAGATGTTACTTGCAGATAAGTGGACCTAAAGCTACCTCTTTCCAAATGTGCACTTACATTCTGGGTAAGTCAATTGGCAGTAGTCAAGTCCATCAGCACTTTTTTGAGTAGTGCTGTTGGGCCTTCATTTGATTAATCCTTTCATCCACCGCTCTGCTGAAAGGAAGGCCACATTATGACTTCTGCAGCCTAATTTTGGAAGTACTGTATCTGCATGAATAAAAATGGACCCAGAAAACATGCCTCAAAGATACCAGTCTGAAGACAGGGGGAAAGTGCTATTTTATTTTCTGCCATAATAGATAGATTAGATAGATAGATAGATAGATAGATAGATAGATAGATAGATAGATAGATAGAT